CCAATATTATTTAAATTAAACCATGATTATTTCTTGAATAAATTCTCTGTTACCTATTTACAAAAGAAAACACTATAAATGTACTTACTATTTACTATAATAAAATAGCCAAACATGATTAATTTAAAAAGTTTAATAAGTGCATTAAAAGAAAGTAACTTATGATCCAAAAAAGTTTTTTTCAAGGTGAACAAACACCTCCCAGGCAATCATACCTATAGGTTATCATGGAAGTAGGGCATAATGTACTATTCTAAGGGTTTCATTAAAGTATCTCAATCTAAAATCCGAAACAATGCCCAAATATTTAGTTATTTACCATCACCAAGGTGATAAACACATATTTAATGTAGATTTACAATAGCTTATCTGTAGTTGTTAATGACTTCCACCAATGGCCAAGAATTTTCTGCGAATATATATGCTGTTNGGGATCGTTGTGTAGCGATTATGGTAAAAAACCCAAATTAGAATTTGCCGTATATCCTGCTCCACAGGTAATATTATCAAAATTCCAATATATTATGAAATCATCATCATAAGGTCGTCAGTCCTAAGACTGGTTGGACACGCACCTCCACTCTTTCCTACCTATTCTGAGCTAATCTTCGCATTTCTCTACCTTCGCATTTCCCTAAAACTAGAACAACTCACATCCTTAACTATTTTGTAGTCACTTTAGTCAATATTCCTCTGATATATGTACCTACCATAAATGTTTTCCAGATCAGGGCCAGCAAGTAATGTTGGTACGATGGGTAACCGCTCCCACACGAGAAATTCCGGAATTTTACGTTAATTTATAATTACACACATAAGACACGAATATTATTGAATTTATATTTTTGGATTTACATCGAAAAACTCGAATGCGTAGTTAAAAATTTACCACCCACCCTGAAAATAACCATTTTAAAAGATAGTTTCAATTTAAGATCTATTAAAAAAAGCATTGCATTGATGTTTTTTAGGTACGACGAAATGTGTCTACAGCTGTTTAACAATGCTTTAGCATTAAATATGGGCCTACTTTGGCTTTTGTTCAAATTTCTGAGAAATCCCGTATCGGTTTAATGCGAAATCAGCAAAAAGTGAGTTTAAACCGTAAGAAAGGACATTCGGTCTGTTTATTGTCCTGTCGATATTTACAAACAAGGCAATTCTTACGTTGTGCAATTACTTTGTGTAATTAGTATTGTAATTATTATGTAATATTATAATACAGTGTAAACTCTATATAACGACACTTAAGGGACTGAACATTTTTCGGCGTTATAAAGAGTGGTCGTTAAATGGAGAGAAATAAAAGATATTATTTTACTATTCTATAATAATATGCATTTACCAATATAGTACACATTTTGCACACGAACATTATTATTCATACATTGCGTATAGCCTGTTATCTTCGTCTGATGTTTTTTGCTGCTCCAATATTTTAATTGTATTTTGTTACGTATCTTACTCATATCTTGAGATACTGCTGGATCAATTTGATTATATAAAAAGTATTTTTTTAATAGTTTCGCTGCATCAAGTGCTTGTTTGATGCTTGGTGGAGGGACAGGATCGTCTTCTTCAACAACGTACACAGCTGCAGTTCTTATCTATTTCGGCAACTTAGAAAGTACTGCTCAATGATTTATAATGCCGCATTGTTGTCGTTAAATAGAGTGAGCGTGACGCTATATAGAGTGTAATATTGTATAGAAAACAATGTAAACCAACCAAAGTCAAGCAATTTCGACGTTTTAAGGAGTTTGTCGTTAAATCGAGTGACGTTATAAAGAGTTTACACTGTAGTATAATAGCTTCAACTATATGATTTTGATTTTTTTATCCCCACTCCTCCAGATTGCCTAAGGTCCACTAAGCATGAACATTGGACTTTTATCAGTGTTATAAATTTGCAGTGAAAAAATAAAAAAGTGAAATCAACAGGATCAGAATTCGTTTTATTTCAAGATCACGAAATTTTTACACTAAACTTTCAATAATAAATAAATTACTTAAGAATAATAAGTAACATGTCAATTTCGTTTTGAAATAAATATTTCCAGAATAACGTCATAATGACCTGCCAATAAAAGCAAGTTGTCTATTTCTAACGATAAGTTACAGTTTTTATTCGATAACACATCAAGTTTGATAAAAAGGTCAAATTCGACTTGAAGCTTTAGGAATTGCAGTTTCTGATAATCGATATGTTAAAGATGGAACTTTAATTATGAATATTTCTGCATCGCCTTCTTTTGACTTTGACATAATTATTTCAGAAGCATTACAATTTTCTGAACCCATTTCTTGATAAAAAATATTCACGAAAATTTGGCACTTACGTCTGATTTTTAGAATGAAATCAACAAAAATCAATAATACATTGATTAGCGCTTTCTTGATCAGAAATTGAAACACACAGGGTGTTTTACAATAGAACAATCCGGAATAAAAACTACAATTTTCTTAAAAATGACAAGTGTCACAAACCCGTTGATGTTAGTATGGTAAAGCTATCATTTAAAAAGAACTAAACTAAAAAAATGTAAAATCTAAATTTTCGTAATAAATCGCAAAAACCAACCACTAAATTTCTTAGTAAATTATGACTCAGAATGTAAGTAATTAAAATTACTTTAATTATTTTTTAAATTAATGAAAACTTGAAGCGCGAAGTAATCCAGATCTACGTTGGTCAAGCAGGAGTACAGATTGCTAACGCTTGTTGGGAACTTTATTGTTTAGAACATGGGATACGACCTGATGGGGTATTTTACAATTCAGAATGCTGCAGAACGGGCGATACCAGTTATAGCGCATTTTTTGGTGTAACGGTTTCAGGAAAATGCGTACCCAGAGTAGTTATAGTCGATTTAGAACCAACAGTAATAGGTAAAAAAATGTAATCTTTACGTACACACAAATAAACTTGCGTTATTCCACATATGTACTTGCATACACCCTTAAATTACAAAAAAGATAATCGAATTGTGCATGAAGCTAAAAATCAATCGACATTCGTCATTTTAAATGGGTTTAGGTAAATTTCAGATGAAATCCGTACAGGACATTACCGACAATTGTTTCATCCTGAACAGCTAATTACAGGCAAGGAAGATGCGGCAAATAATTTTGCTAGAGGTAGATACTCGATCGGTTCGGAGATGATTGATCTGGTTTTGGACAGGATAAGAAAAGTTGCCGATGATTGCGCCAATTTGCAAGGATTTATATTATTCAGAGCATTTGGTGGCGGAACAGGATCGGGTTTTGCCGCGTTACTTTTGGGATCGTTGTGTAGCGATTATGGTAAAAAACCCAAATTAGAATTTGCCGTATATCCTGCTCCACAGGTAATATTATCAAAATTCCAATATATTATGAAATCATCATCATAAGGTCGTCAGTCCTAAGACTGGTTGGACACGCACCTCCACTCTTTCCTATTCTGAGCTAATCTTCGCATTTCTCTACCTTCGCATTTCCCTAAAACTAGAACAACTCACATCCTTAACTATTTGAAAACAGTAATCTAATTTAGGTCTACCTCTACCCCTTCTAACTCCCGTTTCTGCCTCTAATATGTCTCTGACTAGATCTTCATTCCCGAGAAGGTGTCCTACTAACCTATTTCGCCTATTTCTTATTGACTACCATAGAGTCCTCTGTTCTCCTATTCTTTCTAATATCTCTTCATTTCTAACCTAACCTATCCACGGTACCCTCATCATTCGCCTCTAACACCACATTTCGAACGCTTCTAACCTTTCCTTTTCCGCAGCGTCCACTGTCCATGTTTTGCATCCGTACAGCGCCGCGCTCCAAACATACACCCTTAATAATCATTTAAAAAAATTTCTAAATTAACCGTTCGCGAGCATAGAAATAACTTCTTTTTATTGAAGGCGACTCGATCGTCTGCTTTATATCCCTACTACTCCTTCCGTCCTGACTTATCTGACTTCCTATAAACATAAAATTAGCCACTTCTTCTAATTTTGGAAAAAATACAGAATACTTTCCACTTATTTAACAGCTTTAATGTACGAAGTTTATCAAATTTTGACAAAAATAATTTAATTCATCAATATAAACGTGAAATATATTAATTGCATGCAATTAATATTAACAACTACAGCATTATAAACTTTTTCAATATATATGTATAATAAATTTTTTCATATCACTACATTTACAACATAAAACGACATTAAATAAACAAATGCGTATCGTAATCTTCAAGAAACTTACATCAGTCATATATGAAAAACATAACTACATTTAAATTTACAAAACAAGAACGAAAGAATAATTTCGAATTCTTTCGTCTGAGATGAACAAAAATTATACCTAATATTTTTCAACAGATTTCTCCGGTTATCGTGGAACCGTATAATGCAGTTTTAACGTCCCACACTTCTATTGAATACGAAGATCTCTGTTTCATTATGGACAATGAAGCGTTGTACGACATGTTATCAAGATATTTAGACGTTACGAAACCCACATATACTAACTTGAATCGACTATTGGCTCAAGTAAAGCTCTAAACACCTCTAATAGTTTTTCATGTCATTAGACAATTTTAATTTTTGAAGTGAAACTTCTTAACCCACGGTAGGGTAAGTTCGTTTCTTGCGAGTTGCTATGTAACGAAATCATGCAACGGATGTCCCCCCTCTACTCGGCCACGTAGTCGAGTTCGTAGTGGGGATCGCTTGAGCTTAAATTCATAATGTAGAAATAATATTATTAAACCAATTCCTTAACCCCTATCCCGATATGTTTGTTTGTTTGAAGAAGTTTCACTTCAGTGGCGTACAGTATAATTACACGTTGTATTTTTTTTCTTTTTTTATACACAGGTTGTTTCGGCTGTGACAGCGTCTCTTAGATTTGAAGGAGCAGTTAATGTAACGTTGATGGAATTTCTAACTAATTTAGTACCATACCCAAGAATTCATTTTCCACTTGTGACGTATGCGCCCTTGGTTCCAATAACAAAAGCATATTATGAGCAGTTGTCCGTGGCGCAACTGACTTACGGTTGCTTTGAACCAGCCAGCCAAATGATCAAATGCGATCCCAGAAAGGGAAAATACATGTCTTGTTGCTTGCTTTACAGAGGCGACGTTACCCCCAATGACATAAATTCGGCTATCGAAAGCATACGAACTCACAAAAGTATTTCATTCGTTAACTGGTCACCAACAGGATTTAAAGTATGTAATATTTAGATACGTATATACAGAGTGTGGCATTTTCAAATGGGAGATTCTTTCTATCCCTAAAATAAAATAACTGCTCTCATTCCGGTATTTCCACGTTTTTTCTTTAAAATTTTAGTGATTATGATGCCACACCCTAAAGATTACCAAAAACCTATCAAAATTATTAATCAATATATATTTAGGTGGGTATTAACTATCAGCCACCGGTGGCTGTACCTGGAGGAGACCTAGCGCAGGTGCAACGAGCTGTTGTTATGTTGTCCAACAGTACTGCAGTGAATTCGGCCTGGTCTCGTTTGAATAAAAAATTTGCTTTAATGTTCAAAAAACGTGCTTTCGTACACCATTATGTCGGCGAAGGAATGGAGGAAGGAGAATTTAAGAATGCTCAAGATGACATACTGGCTTTGGAAGCTGACTTTAAAGAAGTTGAAAGCGATTAAAAAGCATAAATTACAATTACTTTTATTACTATATAAACGTAAACAGTTAATATCTTCTTAACCTGCCAAAGGATTTGCATGAATTGTGACGCTGTTAATCCTGGTATCCGCAACTGGCCTATAATTTTTAGGATTAACGGGTAACTTTTCAAGTTCGTCAAGTGTTTCCAAACCGTCAATTACCCTAAAATGTTACACTGTATTAATAAAACATCTACGAGAAAAACCAAATGAAATCTTAACATTTTGATTTGGTTTATCAAAAAGATGCGAGATCAATGGAAAATTTCAATAATGACAAAGTATAATATTTTGAATTGAAAAAATACAAATTATAATGCCTTCGCCTTTCCGAGTTTATATCTTTTACAATAAAAACATACTTTCCAAATATTGTATATTTCAAGTCGAGATGTGGTTGAGGAGCGTAGGATATAAAAAACTGACTTCCATTAGTGTTCGGTCCATTATTTGCCATTGATACAATTCCGCGCGCATTGTGCTGCAAAAATTTCATTATTGATCATTTAAAAACAAAAGTAAAGGCCCAACCTTCTCAAAAAAAAAATCACTAGTCACATATATATAATATACATACTAAAGATTTTTAAATTTTTAACAAATAGCTGCATGGTGGCGTCAGTGCCGGATTAAGCCAGCGCGGGACCTGTAGCAAATTTTATCAAGTGGCCCTTAGACTGTTTTAGATTAGGTACTTATCGAGTTTATAGTATACTTTAAGAGATAACTGAATACTTAAAAAAATCGGTTGCACCGCTATATTATGTAAGAAAACAGTACTCAACACAATTACGAAACCACTTTTCTCAAGAATGGTTCATATCGAAAGTACTGTTATTAGCATCCAAACGTAAATTTCGACCATTCCTTATAGATTGGTAGTCAATATAACCGTTTTCAAATCGGTCGGGTTATTAAGACTAGCACG